CAAATTTTTTCGTTGCTACCGTTCAAAATGCATCTCGAGAATATTTTTCGCGGTTCTTAATCTTTGACACAGGAGCTACTCAGTCGTGTGTTATCAACATCGAACTCCTCTCTGATGTTCAACCACTTACGAATCACTTCATGAATACCTTCTCATCTTCGGTTGAGGCAACGCATGTTGGTACACTAAAAATCGGCGATTATTTCATTAGTCCAGTTTATCTCGTTCCAAACGGATGTGCGAATATAATTTCGGTTACTCAACTCATCGATCATGGACTAAAACCTCATTTCAAGACGGATCAATTTTTGATCAAGGGAGGTGAAAAAATCGTCGCAAGTTTTTCTCGAATTGGTAAACTCTTTATGGCACCAATTTCAGAATATGTGTGTATGGTTAACATGAAAATTCCAGAAGATTTTGACTGGCACTACGCTCTTGGACATGCGTCGGACAAATACGTTGAGTTGTTCTGTAAACACAATAACGTCTCAGCGGCAGCATCAACTCAATCAAAGAATTGTCAAATCTGTATGAAGGCTAAAATCCATCGCACTCCGCATGTTCGAAAACTCCCGTCATCTACGAGCCCATTTCATCGACTACATATGGACGTGCTTCAAATTTCGCCTCCATCAAAGCTGGGATTTAGATATGTTTTGGTAATTGTTGATGATGCATCGCGTTACAATCGGATTTATCTCTTACGGGCCAAGTCTGAATCAGAAGATAAATTACTGTCATTCTTTGAAGAACTTAAGAAAAAAGTTGACCGTTTACCTGCGTATCTTCATAGCGATCGTGGAGGTGAATTTAGCTCAACTAAGTTCTTAAATCAAGTAAAAGCATACGGTATATCGATTGAGCGCGGTCCGGCAGATTCTCCACAATCAAACGGTATCGCTGAAAGGTTCAATGGCGTGTTACTTGAAAAAATCAAGTGTATGCTTCTTCAGTCACAGATCCCACAATCAATGTGGCATGAAGCTGCTCTACATGCTTCTACACTATTGAACGTGTTACCACATTCGTCGTTAAACTGGTCGTTGCCTACATCGGTTCTCGTCAAGAATAATATGCTTATTGAACCGGATCGAACACAGATGCCGTTGATACCGTTTGGTGCCCGTGTAGTCGTACATCGTCCTGAATCACTGAAGGTTGTTCCTAAAGGAGTCGAGTTACTGTTTCTGGGTTTTGAACCGTTTTCTGATGCAGCTAGATTTTATGATATTGTACTGCATAAGATAATCATCAGTCGAGACTATGCTGTCCCAGAAATTCAACTCAATGATGATTCATCTCTAATCAAGAAAGATCTCAAGTCATTACCTGTTGGGATAAATACCTCGGAGAGCAAAATACCTCGACTAGTCGCTCGTCTACCTGGAAAGCTATCATCGGATGATTCATCGGATACCTCTAATGAAGACAATGGTGAACAAATAACCGAACGACATGAAGACCAGTCTACTTCAAATTCAAGTTCCGACAGCGAATCTGAAGTATCATTTGAAACTGAAGCTCTTCGGGTTTTTCGCCGTGCTGAGGAGAGGAAGAAACAGGCTCATTGACAGGCTCGTCAACAATTGAGAGCTGAGGAATCTGCTAGACCTCGAAATGTAAATACGTCGTCCGATGCTCCGCCGAATCAAGGAAGGCATTTCTCGTTGTCTCAAAAGGACCTAACTCGTCTCAAACCTAGCTGGGAATACATGACGGATCATCAACCTTCTAAAGAAATTCGTGGAAATATTGATAAATCCAATATCGTCTCAACACGTCGTCGACCAGCAGTGTCAAGTTCTGCAGCTATGGATGAACAACCTGAGATTGTAAACTTGGTTCAACCAGTTACGATGAAGGAGGCGATGGACAGTCCGCGGGAGAAACCTTTGTGGATGGAAGCTATGTCCAACGAGTATGCGTCACAATTGGCTCATTTCACTGGCGACTTGGTTCCACCTCCAAAGGACGATAAGTCTATTGGAGGGATGTGGGTGTTGTGTCGAAAACTAAACGAGGCGAATGAGGTTATTCGGTATAAGGCTCGCTGGGTTGGTTTCGGTAATCATCAAGAACCCAATAAGCATTATTATCTAACTTATGCATCGGTTGGTCGAATTGAAACGTTCAAAATTCTTCTATCGATTTCGGTTACGTACAAGTGGCCTGTATTCCAGTTTGATGTCGAGACGGCGTTCTTGCATGGTGAGATGGATGCCGATGTCTATGTTCGTCAAGTATCTGGTTTTGAAGTTCCCGGTAAAGAAAATTGGGTTTGGAAATTGAATAAGTCACTCTACGGCATGAAACAGGCGCCGCGCATGTGGAAAAAGCATCTCACTAGTACCTTGAAAACTCTTGGTTTGTCTCCGTCGATTATGGACGATGCACTGTTCTTCAATGCCGACAGAACATTGTTCCTGCATATTTACGTGGATGATGGCCTCATTGTAGGTCAAAATAAATCCATTATCGTCTCTTTCTTAAATCAATTGCAAGAAGTGTATAAAATTAAAATAAAAGAGAAACCTACACAGCATTTGGGGTACACACTGGAATGGGGAACTAATTCTGTTGTCCTTCATCATCAGGCTTATGCCGAAAAGATCCTCAAGGCTTTCAACATGGATACGGCAAATGCTGTCAAAACTCCGTTGCCAACGAACGCTCTCCATCAAGTTGAATTAGAGTCAAAACCGTTTGATACTGCAGTAATGCAAAAGGCAATGGGATACATCAATTATCTGGCGATTCATTCTCGACCAGACATCGCATTTGCTACAAATCTACTGTCTCGGTATTCATCTAAGCCAACTCAACATCATTGGACATTAGTCAAACATCTTTTGCGGTACATCAAGGGCACGATCAAATTCGGAATTGAGATCAAGGATCGAAAGTGTCCACGTGATCTTATTGGTTTTGCGGATGCGGATTATGCGATGTCGAGTAGGGATAAGAAATCAACTACGGGTTATGTTGTTAAATTTCAAGGCAATATAATTTGTTGGAAATCAAAGAAACAAACTGTGGTTGCTCAATCTACTACGGAGGCTGAATTTATTGCAATCAATGTGTGCGTGAAGCAAATTCGGTGGATGAAGAATTTGTTAATCGATATGAAGATTCCGGTTGGGGTTCCTATTATTCGAAATGATAATGCTGGAGCGGTGATTATCAGTAAAGAGTTACGGCTATCGGAAAATTCAAAACACATCGAAATTCGGTTTCAGTACCTGCGAGACATTGTGGCAAAAAATCAACTCCAAATTGAAGACATTATGACTGATGAGATGATTGCTGATATCTTGACTAAGCCTTTGGGTTTTATCAAGGTGGCTATTGCCCAGCGGCAACTGCAACTGTGTCATCAAATCAAGGAGGAGTGTTGAGGGGTGTAATTTGATGGACAAGATGCATATTCAATATGGGTTGATGGAAGCGCGGGTGGTTTGAGAAGAGGAAGGTTCGAGAAAGGAAGAAGTTCAATCAGGTCACTCGAAAGCTCAATTCTGACCAACGTTCTCATTGCGATTCTCATCGAGCGAACATCAAGACTAACAACACTCGATACGAATCAAGAACTGAACAACAGGTAATCGGAATATATCTCAAGCTCAATAGATCAACGAAAACTCATAACATTTTCAATAACTCAATAGATTCAAGAACCGAAAACAGAACACAGATCAAGGAGGAGTTAGACTGAAAACAGGAGCCGGAAAAACAGTTTGTTTTCTATTATTGTTTTTCCATCTATGTTTCACAGAACTAGTACTAAATCAGCGTTGTTTTTCAGTTGTTCTTTCAGAATTATATTGTTATTATCGTGTCCAAGTTTTCTCAGATTGTCATTGAAATTGTGGATTATTCCATTCTGTTGGTATCTTTTCATTTCATCAGTCATCTAGTGTTTGATTCTCACAAGTTTTTATCTCATTGAATTATGTTTCTTATTTCTTAACTGATTGATTTTCTGATTAGTTGATCTACTACTACTGGCTGTTAACAAATAAGATTTGCAATAAAGAGTCTCTCCGTGATCATCACATAAGATAACCATGAATAAGATAAGAATAAGAATAAGATAACAAGAGGTAAAGGTAAACAACATTATGGATGTACATATGTAAATATGTACAGGTGTTGCAGATACTTGGTACATTAAAGGTAATGTGATATGTACTCTGTGGCTGACACAGGCAGCATTTGGGGGGCACTTACTAATGCCCAAACTTTTTTTTTCAACCAGGCTCAGAATTGATCTCCCGGTAGCTTTGTCAAAGGTGAATTTGTGTTGTCAGATCTATTTATTGAGATGTTGTTGGATCCAAAAGGCCTATTCAATCTGGAGGAAAAATGTATGTTGACCTGTCAGAGTCATCCCGGTGAAACAAAGAATCTCACTTGAGTGGTGCACACTATCAATATACAACATGCAATGCTTGATGACAATCAGATCCCTCATGTGAACGTTGCTCAGATGTTGAGAAAATGGAACTTGACCTCATTGCAAGGTTTATCTGGGTTGACATGCAAGAGTTGTCTTGCTGGGCAGGTGATCAGGCACCAATTGTTTGTGCCAGTGGTGTCTGATGTTGAAATGAGCACGTCTCAGGTCAAGTCTAGCAACAAGTGCTTGTACAAGGAGTCCTCAACCCTTGGGTTCCCAATTGGCAAAGCCCCGCCTCACCTTTACTTCTTCCTGGATGTGGCACCAACCATCAACAAGGATGAACAACAGCTTTTCATGGAAACTACTGACTGGTCCATGTCTTGTTTTCTCTCAACTCAGAGGTATAGCCTCTTTTCATGTGGTTATTGGAATGGCAGCCACTACTAGGTGTATGGCTTCACAACAATATTCAATACAATGGGTATGCTTGCTTGGTAAATGTGGATCCCAGTAAACTCAGTGGGCCTGCTCCTCACACCGGTTGGCTGATGCACTGCCACTGCTGGACCAGGCCTGAAAGGAATATGTTGATGAGATGATGGATAAAATCCATAAGGATTATCCCCATGCAACTGGTCATCCGTTTTTTGGGGGGCTGATCTCCAACTTGCTGGAGTCTATCAACACCGACACGCCCAAATTGGTGGAGTCTGTCATCACTAACAAGCCAATTTCACAGCTTGCCAAGCATCCCAAAGTCCAGGAAGAGCAAGTTGCATCCCTGTTGCCTGCCACAATAGACTACAAACCCGCCAGTTCTCAGGGTGGCACTCAAGGTGAGTGATTCACTTTACTTTTTTGTTGGCCTTTGGTTTGCTGATGAAACTGGGCTTTGTTTGATACTTTGTAGCACCTGCAGGAAGTGATATGGTTGTTAACCCAGAAAGCACAACGGTCAGCCAGAAGAAGCTTAAGCTGAAATTAAAATGGTCAACGCCATCAGCACCTAAGGAGCATAAGGAAGCTGATACTTTGGGTTCTGGAGGGCTGACCGGAAAGTCAAACGCAATTGGTTCTTGGAGGAGCAAGCATGTCACCAAAAATGGGAAATAGGTGGAACAAAGCCATGTAAAATTGGCTGAATCGCTTGTGAAATTCATACTAGCTTGTTTGATCTTTTTTTTACTTGGCCAAGCCTTGGGTAATAGGTTGGGTTTTTTTGCGAGTGTTTTGATTTGAAGGGCTTATCCCTTGTGAGAAATGCCATGGAAAAATTGTTTTACACAGTTTAGGCAGCAATTATAAACAAGCTTTTTGTTTTTCTTGCGAATTTTTTGAATTTTTTTTTGATTATTTTCATAACATTTTTTTTCTTATTTTGTTAACCAAAAGCGATCTCAAAAACTTTTTCAAACAGCCTCTAGGAGGTTGTTTGAAAATGTAAAAATCTGAAATTGGCTTATGAGATTTTGTTACAGTCCTTATGACATCCCATTACATCCCTTATGGGCTGTATCCTGCTGTACGACCGTACATCATACAAGCAGTACTCCTAAGGATGGTAATTGGGCCGGGTTTCCAACGGGCCGCCTGAACCCGACCGGGTTTGGGCCGGGCTCGGGCCAAGCTTTTCATGGAATTTTCTACTTAGGCCCGGCCCGAGATGACCCGATTAAAGGTTGGGTCTACTTGGGCTGCCCATCGGGCCAGTGCAGTAGTGGGGGGTCCTGACTCCTGGCGCTTGGTCAGGTCCAAGTGGACCTGACCAAGTATCAGGACCCCTCAGGGCTTAGCTTATCCTGAGGTCTGAACCGACCCCAGTTCCTACTCCGTCTGCGACCCCGCCGCCGTGAGTGCTAGCGCCAGAATCTCAATTTCTTAGTGACCAAGCCCGCGGGCAGCCCGCTAAGAGCCCGGAAGCCCATCTCTATATCGGCCTGTGGGCAGCCCGATTTGTAAACGGGTTTGGGTCGGGCTGTCGATTTCTTGAATGCAACCCGGCCCAATCCGCCCGGCATTTTTCAGGCCCGCCTTGGGCCAGCCCGCGGGCGGCCCGAGCCCGCCCGATTATCATCCTTAAGTACTCCAACCTCCGACTGGATACTGGATATTAAAGGCAGATAAGTGATAAACTGGCCGCGCGCGTTGCAGGACTCCTGGGATGGATAGACATGGTAAAGTATATCTATATCAAAAGATCCCTTGAGGGGGAAATAAATTGCAAATAGGTTGAAAGGCTATTACAACTTACGGGTGGTTTGAAAGACCTGCCCCTCTAATTGTACTAAACAAATAACTAAGAGTCTTGTGATCAATATTTAATAATATGCGGCTGATTCCAAGATAGATCTTACTTTTGTAAAGTAATCTCTATCAGACCTAGATCATGTATCAATCTACTAATGAATCTGTTACAACTTCAGGTTAATAATGGAAACTGTGGCGCTTATGGTCGAGCGCAAGACAGTTGACTTTTTTATTTGGAGTGTGTTAATGATCTCTTCCTCGGACAATTTCTTGCTAAGGCACTTTAATCACAACTAGAGCTCTGGTGTTACTACTACTATTACTTGCTATTTGTTATTTGTTAATAATACTACTTAATTTCACTTTGTTATGGTTGAAGGGTCCTGGTCCTACTACTTATAAATCTCTGACTTTACTTAACTAATTCTCTGACACACACACTACTAACTAATTGTGACCAAATTACTCCTGTAGGTTGACAGGGGGGGGGGGGGAAAGAGAATCCTGGTGGAGAGAGGCCCTCCTTTTGTATTGAAGAGTGAGGGATTTCTGCTGCAGGGGACTCCTTGTGAGTTATTTTTGCTGCAGGTGACACACACTTGCACAGCATGATGTCATTGGTTGCTATGAAACCAAGCCATGTAGCATGTGCTGAAACCTTCCAAAGCAGTAATCCAGTACAGTATACAGTCTTATGAGATCTGTGACTTGGACACCAAATCCACATTCCAAATGTTCTGTGTTTCATCTCAACAGATGAGGCAACAGATGAAACACTTGCTTACTTCCTTCCTTATTCATTCTTCAGGGTCAAAGCCTCTCCGCCTACCTTCCTTCTCCCCTCCTCATCACCTGTCTTATGTTCTTTTCCACTGATTACACAATACATAAACCCATATTACACATCCTACCCACTCACACACCACATCTACATACACCACAGGTTTGGTGCAACTGGGGGCCGATGTGAGACCCGACGTTGAACCGACCCTGCCGACCCCCCCTTGATCGGTTGGTGTGTTTCTATGCGGGAGGTGTCGGGAGCTGCCGTTGGCCCAACCAACCCACGAGGGCACTACGTGAAACACCCGTCGTCGGCTAGCTTCTAACGCTGGGCTACCGTGAGTCCCCGCCGTTGGGATAGGTGCCATCACCGGGCTTATGTTGGGTGAATCCTCAGTGCCGCACGTGAGACCACTCCCAACGGCTTCCTGTCAGTTGTTCGACATTGCCAACAGGGCAAGTTTGCCGTTGGCCAGACGTCTGGCAAGATGGCAAGTAACAAAAAAAATGAATCGGTCGGTTTTTCATTTTGGAAAAACCGACCGGATTGAAATGGCAAACCGTGACAAAATAAGGGAAGAGGGAAATGCATTGCATACTATCCGACAGGATTCTTTTACAGAAAACATGTTCGGATTGAGATCATCAACAGAGAGAAAAAAAAAGTTGGACGTGTGTTTTTTTGTAGCGTGGGTGTCAAAAGAAAGAAGCAACCAGATTGAGAAGGTGAACAAAAACAAAAGCATGATTTCTTTGACTATTTTTATGTATTGTGGGTGTAAAGAAGAGCGACCGGAATGAAGAAGAGTTTTTTTTGAATAGAAATTTGTTGGTCATTTTTGTAGCATGGGTGGAAAGATGACTTAATCATTCACACCGGAATAGTGAGCACCAGCAAGTGCGATCCGAACATCTTCAATGGTGGGAACCGTTAGGTCCTGGTGTTGAACACTTGCGAATTCCTTCTTGTGGGAGAATAGCTCCGAATCTTTTTCCAAGACAAGATCTGCGTGTCTGAAATCAACAAGCAGTCTTTAGTGTACGATTTGAAAAGAAAAAGGTGGAAAAGACTGACTTTTTTTGAAATTCAAATGATGAACCTCGGAGAAAACCTAATCGCTCGTTGATTTCAATCCACTACGATTCCTTCTTGGATTTGTGAATGTAGTAATATACCATTACCAGACGGGAATAGCACATTCAAGCCCGCATGGCAAAGTTTGTATGAACTTGATGCTAGAGATGTCAGCAGGTACCTGTTTGCAGGTACCCGGTACCCGTTTGCAGGTACCTGTTTTCCAAAGCAGGTACCCGGAAACAGGTACCGGGTGCGGGTGCGGGTGTCAACATTTGCGGTAAAAACAGGTGCGGGTGCGGGTGCGGGTGTCAACATTTGCGGTAAAAACAGGTGCGGGTGCGGGTGCGGGTGTCAACATTTGAGGTAAAAAAAAGGCAGGTACCCGGGTACCCGCCTGACACCCGCCCTGGGAATGCTTCCCCTGAAGAATTTAATTTGTCATTGGTGGTCCAACACTCCCTCTTTTGGGTGTGTTGGGCTGCACAAAGGTGTCAGCAACCCATGTAGGACACCAGCCGGTGTCTTACATGTGTTGCTGAACTAATCTGGTTGCTTTGTTGAGGCCAGAGGGTTCCCTCCGGCCTTTGAGATGGTGTACAGTCTTGATGACTGGAGGAATTCCTCCAGTCATAAAGAAGGTGTACAGTCTTCATCAATGGACATGAGGCCAAGCAAAAGGGTAAAGCTAAAGATAGATCAGAGAGAAGATAAAATTCAAATTTGTGATAGAATAATTTGTTTTTCTTTATTTCTTTATTTTTATTTTATTCTTACTCGTATATCTAGTGAATATCAATCTTATATTTACCAGAAATTCAAGGGTGAGATTTCTGGGTATATTTGCCTGCAAAAATGTGCCAGGTACCGGCAGGTACCCAGCACAGGTACCCGGGTACCCACCCTGGCGGCCCTAGCAGGTGCGGGTGCGGGTGCGGGTGTCAAAAATATTGGATTTTTGAGGCAGGTAACCGCACCTGCTACAGGTACCCGGGTATTGAGCGACATCTCTACTTGATGCTTGATCTCTTTCTCGGTGAGCTTAGACGATTTGGGTGGGAGATCTTTATAAATCTAAAAAGGTAAAGTAGCATATGAGTATATGAAGAGTAAGTTTGTGATCAGCTAACTACTTACCATAGTCAGCATCTCCTTTTGATTGGGCATTTTGCTGACAAATGGTTTCTTCTTGGTCACAAGGATTTCTGTTAGGAGCTGTGATAGAAAAATCAGCATCGATTGAGAGAAGAATTCAGAGAACTAACGCACCAGTGTGCGCAGATTACTTTGTTGGTACTTCAAGAGTTCGCCAACAACCTTGCGATAGTGATTAAGGACTTCTACATTGGCCCAAACTCCCCTGGGTGGAAGGTGATTGTCTTTCCACGCATCAGGCTGTTTTTTCAACAGCGTCCTAAATATGGAAAGATATGTTTTAGATTAGATGACAATGACAATAAACAAAGACAACTTACGAGTGTTAAGTAGAACAAGGTTTTTGGGATGTCGGTATTCTGGTGTGGGTTGTTTGAGTATGCCTCAAGGGTTGGCTTGAGTAAGAACATCCGAGCACTAGTTCTGACAAAGTCCTAATGGGATTGATGGGTAAAAGATAAAAGAGATCGATCGATAAGTAATGGACAGACACAAGATCGATGGGGTCAAAAATCTAACTCTGAAAGTGTCATCATACACAAATGATGGTTTTTGGGTACCTTTATTACCAAGTTGGTGATAGGCACCATTAGTGAAGACTAAGCTGGCATGTCTCGCTTCAGGGGAAGCCTTTTGGGTAGAGGGAAAAAAAAGAGAATCAGGATCAGAAGAGCTGGTGAGATTAAAGCTAAGAGTTGAATGAAATTAGATCAGAAAGTGAAACCGATAGACAAACCTTGCTCCTAATGAGAGCAATCTCCAAATGCTCAGGATCGAGCATCAACTTAGATTGTAGATCAGAGCAGATTTGCTCAACATTCTTTTCAGCACCAGGGGCGGAAGATCGATCGGTCATGTTGACATCGTAAGAGGGTAAAGAAGCAAACATGTTGTTTGGATCGGTGATTTCCATATGGTTGGAAGGTGGACTGTCATGATCGTCGGAGGATGTATCATAGTGACTCTCCTCAGCTCCTTCAAGTCGAGTGGCGGGATCATCAGGATCTCCATGAATGAGATCGTTGATGTTCAACATGATGAGGAAGGGAGGGGAGAAGTGTTGATTGGAGAAGAGAATCAAGAGAAAAATCAATGACCGGTTCAACTTAACAAACAATTCAGTGATCAGTGAGGTTGAGGAGAGAAAACTTTGAGAGAAGGAATGAATGACGATCGGGTTTTTAAACAAATCCAAAACAAGGAAAAATCAGAGTTAAAACAGTAAAGGACAACCATCCAAGATAAATTGAAAAAAGGGTTCAATACGGACCTCTTCCTTCAGTTTGATCCTCTGGCTTGTCGAGAATCGAATTCTGTTAAACTCTTTATTGACGAGTGAAAAAAAAAAAAAAAACTTCAAATAAGCTATAATCGGTCAAAACATGGAAACAAATCACCAGTGTGAGCTTTTGTTTGATGGTCATTTGGATGTAAACTTGAATGACTTACTTTTCTACTTGAAGACTTTCTGCAAAGAAATACTACACAGGGGAGAAGATACGAGTGTTGGCTATGTAAAGGACGGACAACAAAGAACCAAAATAGACATTGTAAAAACTCACAGCATCAACATCTAGTGAAACTGAACAACAAGCAAAAAGCTTCAGAGGATGCTCGTAGGGTGGCGCTTGAGGCTTCGAATCGGGAAGGGATGCTTGTGGATGAGGAAATCAGTCAGCTCTGATCGAAGGCAATAAAGAACCTGGGGTGAACTCAGAAGCTGACGATGGAAACAAATCAGACGAAGAGGTTGACAAAATTGTTCCGGGAACTTTTGAGGTCGCGGAATCTGAAGATGACGAGGAGGCCGAGAAAAGTTGGATGGATTTTGTTGGTGTAGCGATTGGTCAGATTGATTCGGAGCTAGCGGTAGACGATCCAGCCAACGATAGCCCTCTTTTTCGTCGTGAAGAAGAAAAGATAAGAAAAGTGACACCGGAGGACTCTGAATGGTTTCCGTTTCTGAATAAAGAAGTGAGGAGTGGAATTTCATCACAGAAAATTAAAATGAAAAAAGCAAATCAACTTACATATTTTTGGTTTATTCAGTACCTGATTGGTTCACTTCTGGTCAGATACTTGCACAAACTCATTTCGCGTGACTTGTACCATCAAATACGAGTCATCTTTATGCTGAACCAAATCAAGCTTCCCCGCTGGGAAGCCTTGCGATTAATGCGAGCACAGATCCGTACACTGGTTAATCAGACAATCGTTGAACAAGAAACAGTCTTTGGTCAGCCTGTTTTTGGATTGAAGGCCAGCAATGTGATTAAGCATGTAAGTACTCACCTGGTGACCTGTGTGTTTCGGAAAGAGCCAAGCTGAAGTTTGATTGCTGTATTGATGATTTTAGGATCTAATGAACCCTTTGGTTGCGCCGCATATGGATTTTTTCCCGGAGGATGCGCACGGCAAAAATATCTACAAGCTTTCACAGTCAACAAAATGGCTGAAACACCTAGCTAGTGACCTTCGAGTCCAAATGGTTGAATCAAGAAAAAAACACTTCTACATCTATGAGCCAGTCCAATTACGCTCCTCTAAATTTACTATCCCAATATTCTTATTTTCTCAGCAAAACCACCTTTTTGCAAAATGTACTACCCCAACTTTCAGATCAAACAAGGAAAATTCTACCATTGAAATTGGAGTTTCTGATGCGCTTTTGTTTGACAACAAAAACCTGGAAATCATCTCTATTGAAGAATTTGAATTGACATATGGGGAAATTAAGATGAATGATGGCTTAATGTTATCAGAATGTTGTGGAGGAAGGATTAGTGGTGAGATTTCAATAAATATTTAACAAAAAAGTAACACATTCATGCATATTAATATATTTGGTTTTTCATCAAAAAAAAAAGAAATTAATGAGTGTGGCAGATGGAATCCAAAAATAATCCTACCAAATCCTTGGAGGAAGAAAGCAGATGGAAAGATCCTACGAAATGTTCCCATCACCTTATACTGTGATGACACATCTGGAAATAAATCTAGGGTCTTAGTCAAACGACTCCCAAATATTGGAGTTCCGACTCCCAAATATTTGCGACTTCGCAAAAACCCCCGGGGTTTTCCATTTTTTTATCTTTTTATTTTTATTTTTTCTTGGGATGATGGACTCCCAAACCTGTTGAAGGTTTGGGAGGTCCGACTCCCATCTCCGGGGGTGGACGGCCTGCGGACCGTCCGCAGGGGGTCTTAGCGACGTCCCAAATATTTGGGAGTCGGAACTCCAATATTTGGGAGTCGTTTGACTAAGACCCTAAATCTAAGAAATGGAATAAACACATCTCTTATTATTTTACACTCTCTGGCTTACCACCTAAAATTTCCAATCAGCAAGCCAATTGTCATTTTCTTTGCACATCCAACATCACTGGAGCTTTGGAATTAGGAGATATGGTTGTTGAACAGCTAAAGTGGGTCTTTTCATTTTAGAATGCACCAGTGTGATTTTTATCATTATTTTGATTTTTTTGATTTTTTTTTTCTTTGTAATTCAGTGAAATGGCTATCAATGGATTCACATCATACGATAGCACCATCGGTCAAGAAGTTCATGTTATGACCAGTGTCTTGTGTTTTCTGGCTGATTCTCCAATGCATGCCGAGATTACCAACACACCAGTTCCTGGAAATTCTCTCAACCCTTGTCGGTGTTGTAACTTAAGTTCTGCCAGCTTGAAAGACAGAAAGTTGCTTCCATATATTTCCCAATTCACCCAGAAAAACATGCATGGAGCAAATGTATAGATTTTCTTTTCCTTTTTTGAATTTTCTTCATTAATCTTTTGCTGACTTTTTTGAAATCTTGCTTTGCTTTCTGAAATAGTGCCCAAATCAACTGCGAACCATGAATCAAACAAAAGAAAACTCTAAAAAGCTGTGGGCACATGCTAAAGAAACTGTTAATCTGGAAAAATTAGACAAGAAATCTGCCGAGTTGGGTGTTCGGGATCAAATCAATAGAAATTTTTCCAAGCAATAATTTAAATTTGACGCCAAAAAAGTGCAACTACTTGAAGACGGAGAAGAATTATCATCTGATATGGATCAAGACGTTCCTCAGGAATTGGTTGATATGGAAGATAAGGAACCTAAAAGAATATTTAATCCTTACTTTGAGCTGAAAGGTTTTTTGTTTTTGGCTATTTCTTTCCTTCAGGGTTTTCTATCAATTCTTTTGCTGAAATTTTTCTGTCTTCTGGTTTTTTGCTGTTAGGTTTTGACATGGTCGAAGATACTCCTGTTGAAGTCTTGCATGTTTTTTTACTTGGTGCCGTCAAGTATTTATTTATAGATTTCATGAAGGGATTAGACCAAACGCAAAAGGATGATCTCACAGCCTTATGGACTTCTTTCAAAACCGATTCTCTCAATATCCCTTCCGTTAGACCCATCAGTTTGGTTCAATATTCTTCAAGTTTAGTTGGCAAAGATTTCAGAATAATTCTTCAAGCAGCTCCCTTTGTCTTCTTCCAATTCATGACCCCATCTGAGATTGATATCTGGTCTTCACTCTGTCTCCTGGGCTCTTTAATATTTCAAACTCATATTGAAGACATGACAGAATATATTTCTGATTTGAAGAATCATATTGATATATTTTTAAATCACATGATTCAAGCTTCTGCCCAATGGGTTAATAAACCCAAATTCCACATGTTACTTCATCTTCCAGATTCCATCCTTTGATTTGGTCCTGCATGCCTTTTTGCAACAGAAAAATTTGAAAGTTATAATGGTATTCTTCGAAATGCTTCAATCCACTCCAATTGCCAAAGTCCTGGTCAAGATATAGCCATTACATTCTCCAATTACCGTGTGTTTTCTCAAATTATCTCTGGTGGTTTCTTCTTTGACAAAAAACAAAATAAATTTGTGCAATCCTCCAGCCAAGTCACAAATATATTTAAAACAACCCCTTAATCCAGCAAACTTGGCTATAATAATTCTTTATCTTCTCCTCAGAAAATCACCTATCCTTTTGTTAAGAAACTTTCAGTCCTCAAAGATGAACAAATTCCTACTCCTGAAGACCTGAAAAATTCTTATCCTGGCCACAATATTCAAGAAATATCTGAATTGAGCTTGAATTAAAAGCAAGTTCTCAAGAAAAACTATTTCATTTTGGTATTTATCCATTCTCTAATTTTTTCAGCACAGTTGAAAGTTCTCCTTGTGGAATTAAATCTATCTTGTATTTTTTTGTAGTTAAATGCCAGCCAAACTCAAGAAGATGAACATATTGGATCAATCAAATCCATCTGGGAAGTGCAGAAGCCATTCCACCGGAGTGCTTATTATATTCACACAAACTTGTTTCAAAAAATGGATGAAGACAGTTTCTACAGAATGAGAAAGATCCAAAAAACACCTCAATCCACCTTTGTCAGCTCACAAGTAAGATAATTTCATTCATTGCTTGATTGATCTTATTTTGATATCAAACTGTTGGATTGTTTTTCTTTTCATAGAGTGTTAAAGCCGGTTTAAATGTACAGCACAACTGTCACGATGGTGGATGTAAATTAACAGAAACTGGGGATGGATTTGTTGAGCGACGCAAAAGTAAAAAGAAGAAGCTAGAGTTAACACACACAGACCACAATCAATACATCGTCAACATAGCTTCACTCTCATCGGCTGCTTGGCATCGTACATTCTCAGACATTACATTTGTTTCACCTGGACCGCTTCAGTGGGTCGATATGTTGCATAATGGATTAAAAAAGTGGGGATCGATTGTCAAGCAGAAAGAAACAAAAGCGAGAAAGAAGTTGTCAAAAATGCCAAAAACAACCATGGATCCGAGTTTGAATTGAAATTTGATCCAATAGCTATCACGCTCAGTAAGTGTACGGTTTGTATAAGCTATCCATTGAGTAATCGTATTTGTAGTGTTGACATTTCCTTTTTTTTGGTTTGTCGATGGAGCGATTTCAGGTACATCGACGTTGGGACAACGAGCCTTCTTGATGTCCGTCGTTCTTCAAGAGGTAACCGGCCGACGCAGAAATGCTTCCGTCCCCGTGAGATTGATCAAAGATTTGACGGCTGCGACGGACTTGTTTTTTGACTGAATCTTTTCTCTGAAATATTCAAAAAAAATGTGTTAGTTTTGAGATCCTGTAGTATATGATGTTATAGATAAACTACCTACCACTGCCTTCCTAGGCTTCACCTCCTTGGTAGGCTCCTCGGTTGGAGCCACCACAGGTTTTTCTTCCATGTCGCCAGTTGTCTCCTTGGTTGGAGCAATCACATGGTGGCTGGTTTCGGTTTGATGAGGTGAGCCTGGTGCCGAAACAGCTTCAGGAACCGGAGGGATCTCGAACTCCGGTGTGTGTGACAATTTTTGATTGGGATTCATCTTTGAGTGAGTCGGTTGTTGGTGATCCTGTCCGCTTGGTGACGATAGTTGCTGAGTGAGCCGCGGACTGAGGAGGAGGGTAGCAATGGCCGGCTAGAGTTGACGGCGGCCCAACCATCGGCCCTCGTTGGAAGAGTCGTACTTGTCGGCTAGGGTAGCTGTTGTATCCTCGGATGACTAAAGTCAAGCCAACCCTGCCGACAAAAGCTATGTTGGGGGGGTCGGCTTCTCTATTGAGGCATTTGGGTTGGGGATGTGTCGGCTAGACCCAGTGTTTCCGTTGGGCCCGCTGCGCAGAATATTTATGGCATCCAGGTCGGTGCTGACCTGCGCCAACTTAAATTCAACTGCGCGGTCTAGCCGATGCAAGCTCCAGAAAAATATTGAGTGGTGGTGTATTTATACCGTATCCTGATGTTGTATGTCCTACGTAATGAATGTTCCTCCTCTTGTAATGAATGATAAGTGTGTGTACCTATCACCTATTCTGTATGCTTTTGGCATTGGAACAGGCATAGCACACCACAGCGTTTGTAATTCCATGTTGTTTGAGTTTTTTTTGAGATGTTTTTGACTATTGTTTCATTTTAAAAACATAAAAAGAACAAATTCAAAAACTTTTAAAAAAAATCTCAAAAGAAATCCAAAAAACATTTATAATTGCTGCCTTAATCACAGGGCTTTACAATGGATGTTTGCAGAGGCTTCTGATTACAAGGGGGATGCAGCGTGGGATGCCTTGTAAAATTAACTGGTTACACCTCATGGGGTATTTTTACAAAGATTCAGAATTAGAAGGCTTAATTAAGCCTTGTGAAAAAACACTTGTAAAATTCTATACCCCCCAAAAAAACATCCTACATGAAGTGGTGATGTTATAAGTGAAGTTGGTTTGTTTGGAGACGTGCCACATGTGGGAGGGCTATGTACATAGTGATGTAGGCCAGATTTGCACACACCGCTTGTAGCCGGTTAGACGTATTGTCTGGAGATCAATCAGCTGAGCATTAACTCATCAGCCCTCGCTGTTGTTGATTTGAGATACGTTTGGAGGAGCGGAGGAATGATCAAGGGCGGAGAAATTGGTGTGGTTTGTGAAGCAGAAGGACCTGGTGGTGGTGATGCCCCGACCCTACTGCGTTGTGAGTTCTGCGTTCTGGCTGGCTGAAGCTATTTACATAATTATCGTCTACCCCGCACCCCAATCAGCTGCTCGCCCTCCGTTTGTAGTCCCACTTCACAGCCTCGATCGATTCCAGACGGCCTTATCTCACTTTGGATTATCCTTTCTCCTTTCGAATCTCAACCCTCGACTCTCTCCGTGACTCAGATAAACCTTCGCACTTCCTGGAATCAGTTAAATACAGCTTCTTTTTTTTTTGTGTGTGCATCATTCATGATCCTCCAATATATTATCGTCCTCAATCATTCAGCATATAGGCGTTGTGACACTGATTATCGGACTTCTTCTTCCATTAAAGTTGATCGAATCTCCCTCCAAAAATCGAAAAGAGGAATAATAATAATAAAAATGAGTAGTCAAAGAAAAGTCTCGGTTTTATTTGTTTGTTTAGGTAAGCAAATTAGTCAAAAACCATCGATATGGGGATGTTTAAAGAGAGCATCAACATCAGCTATTGAGATTTGACGAAAAGAAAAAATGTTTTTTTTTGTTCGTTTGGGTTCATTTAGGGAATATATGTCGATCCCCAATGGCAGAGGCGGTTTTTACTCATTTAGTTGAACTCAACGAGCTTCAAGACCGATTTGAAACGATTGCGAGTGCCGGGACGGCTGCGTGAGTGAACCCAATGGTCGTGATTTCTTCTATTAGATACTCAAGATATTCATAAATATGCTTCTTGCAGCTACCACGTGGGCGAACAACCGGATCCTAGGTGGGAGTGGTCCCTCATCCGATGTTCCCTCATAATTATGATGAAAATTCAGCATTTTTTATTTTTTATGGGTTGTTGGTCTGGGGAAACACGACATCGATTAATCCTCTGGTGATGTGGTAACAGGACTGTTTGCGTATGCAATAAGTTCGGCGTGGCAGTCAACTCGGTGGCTCAACAAGTAGAATCGTCTCACTTCAATACCTTCGATTATATCTTGGCGATGGATACTTCTAACCTTCGAAACCTACGCGAGATGCAACCTCCGAAATGCAAAGCACAAGGTCGGCATTTCGATCATACATTTTTTCCCTGCCTTCATGCTATCTTAATTAGGAACATAAATGGTTGACGATTTTCTAACTATTCTCTTTGGGATTCTGACCTGATCCAGTCAAGTTATTTGGCGAATTTGGCGACGGTGATATCATCAAAGATCCTTGTAAGTTTTTTTTTTGACTCTTGTAACTAACTCATATTATACATCGAAATAATTAAGGAATGAAGTTCTGACAAAAACTTATTATGTACAAAAATCTCAAAAAACTGTTTGCATTACAGATTATGGAGCAAATGTGAGGATATCTTTCAACCCGATCTTCCCTTCCCTAGTTCCTCATCATTTGTCCAGTACCCTCGCTTTGAAGAGCTTAGCTTTTGTTTTCAATGTTTTTTTAGGACGGGTTCACACACAATTTTAGACAATGTGTAGATTACTCTGTGGGCTTGCTCAAATCTCTCGGATTCCATACAGTGAAATCAATCCTCTAGATACAATTTTCTTTTTGTCTGTTGTTATAAGGGTTACAGAACCCAATTGTATAAACGTTTAAAAATACACTTTTTTGTGAGTTTTTATTTTGTACAAGAGCCGTGCTTTTTTAAAAAAATAAAGTTATGAATGAGCTTGATTTTGGTCTAACCATTGTTTGAAAAACTTTGTTCAGTTAAATCTTGATTTCAGTCTTGATGACATGTTTACTCCAGCCCATCTGACTTTGATCGTATATATATGAGAGATACTTTGAACACCACCTTCCTGAGTGACTGTCTTCTTTTTACATCGATGATCACTGAAAGGTCAAAAAGTAAAACATCGGTGCCAAGGGATATGGCCGTAGTATCTTATATTTGAGCCAAGAGAAGATTTGTGTTTTCTTTCAATTTTCCGAAATTAGTTCTGGACCTGTTTATCTTATATCTCATAACACTTGTCAAGGGCCTAACCAGCACCCGTGCGCGGTTACATCATGCTTCCACCTGCCTTTGGAAAATGCTGACAATAACTGTCGGAGTACCAGGTGATAATCAGAGGGAAAGAAGTTACTTGGTGCTAGAGTCTATCCGGTGCTTCGGGCGATTTCTAACGCGCAAAAGTGTGGTGGAACTCTAACTCAACTGTGTGATTCCCTTGCCTTCCTGGTCAGAGGGTGGAACTACACTTTCAAACTTGGTAGCCCGGCAGGTTGCTCAACGGCAAACTTGTCACAATGTGGGATCGGCTGCGGGGAGCGGAGGCCATCGCCAAGGCTCAGACAGACAACTATGTAGCGCCATTCCTCGCCCAACTCCGGATTACCTGACTGCGGCGGTCCAACTTATTCAACACAGTTGCATGTTTTCTTTCCTTCCAATTTCAATAACTAAGGTCAACTCAAAGCTCAAGTGTAAAAAAAAAAGAGTGATGACACAAACGGTTTGAATGACAAGAAGAAGAAGGGAAGTTGATAATCAAGATCAAGGTGATGTATATTTGTAAATAAACATGGGACGAATTCTAAGGCCAAACAAATAATCCACGCTGATTTAGAATAATTGTAGTTTTAAGGACTGTCGGGAGGTGGATGGGGTCCAGGAGGTCCAACAGGCGGTGGAACAGGAACACCATTGAGAGCTGGACGAGGGATGAAAAAAGGCCGTAGACCGGGAGGTCCTCGACCAGGAGGTTGTGGGGGGCAGGGCTGGATCACACAAGGTGGCGGTAGACGAGGAAATTTCCAGTAGGTAGCCCCTGTCCCGAAATAATAAGCAACGGAGGGCCCAAGTAAGGTGGCGATAGTCGAAAGGAAAGCCAGGGGATGACAGGTTTTGACGAACTGGACCATGATTTTCTCAACCCGGTGGTGGATGCGAGTTGCGATTAGGGCGAGTTGATCAGATCGACACTTGTCCAGAAAGATCGACTGAAGTGATTGAGCGAGAAGAAATCAAGTATCAGAGATCATCATCAAAAAGCAAAGGCTCGGGCGAGATTGAATTAGTGGGCAAACACAGATTTACCTTCTCAGTAATGTAAACACGAAATAATAAAACGATGTTGTAGAATGGGTCAGTGAGTGACTGAAGTGCTCAATGCGCGCAAGATGGTATGATTGATGTTTGCTGGATTTGTGGTGATGGATGTTAGGTAGACCAACCTCCCAAGCGCAAACGGCTATTTAAGGACTTTCTGGTTTCAATATTTCGACTATATTCTTTTGTCTAGGCCCATCGATCCGAAGGATTAGTATAAATCGATGTCTCTTTCGGCTACGGAATGGTCTACATCCTTCACTCTCATCGCTTGCCTCCGCCAATTGGAAAACCAGTAAAAAGCCCAGACTCATTCATTTTATGTATGGCAAGTCAAATGCTAGCTTTAATCGAACACTCCAAGGGAAATTTTTGCTGTAGTTCACCTCAAGCGTAGCCGAATTGAGGCCTAGTATTGGCCATCGGAAGCAGTATCCACAAGTCACATGATCACGGACACGAGTCACCGGTGCACGCCGACAGCTGATTGACAGAATCTTTACCACCATCTTTGATCTGATGGGGGCGGACAACCCCGACAACGAAGTTCACACTACCGCCGATCAAGTGGGAACCCAAAAGCCTTTCACTCGCGAGGCTTTACTTGGCCTTGGATGGGCGGCTGACTGATATCGGGCTCCGAGAATTCCTTGCATCAGCAATAGTCAATCTTTCGTGAAGCCCTGGTGTACATAATTTAAGCACACCATCGTGTTTTTCTTTTTTCCCTTGCATTGTCAGTTGTCCATGGATGTTCCGCCCTCTAAGCTGTACATTTTTTCTGAAGGGGTTTACCAGCGTTCACCTGCACCCACTGTCCATCAAAAGTGAAGTGGCACCAATGAAAAATTGCACAATTTGTGACCTTTCTGCTCCTTGACAAGCCGAACATAGCAAACAACAAATGAAAAGTAAATCAAAAGACCAAAAATTCAAACAAACAAATCCAGAAAATTGAAAAATACACCCCAGCGGATCAGGTGAATAAACCGCCCAATAGTACTGGGAGTGTGCTCAGAGGGGAAAACGTTATGATGACCTTTTGCGACCGACCCTTTGCGGGTTCCCTGAAGGACATCCCAACGTCCACATTCAGCTCCAACGACATTCTGTGTAGGCAGTGGGGGTCAAGTGTCGCCTCAACCTTCTCGAACCAGTGTCTCGTCGTTCCCCTGAAGCACGGAGAGGCAGACAGCCTATCAACGTCCACATGCGGCTCCTCAATCGCTCTTCCGGCGCGCTGGGGGCTGGCGTTATTGCAACGCTCTGACATTGTTCTTCCAACACTCCACGGTTTTCATCACGAGTCTACCAACGTTAACCAGTCCTCGGTCAAAGGTCGTCAAGACGTTGTGTGAACCCCAACCACGCCAACCACTTCTTTCGTGGTGATTTCTGACCGCGTGGGAACGTTGCCCCCTGCGGAAGGGGGCAACGTTTGAGAAACGTTTTTGCGCGCGGTCAACGAAACGTTGAGCTGCACCGGTGGTGTAGCCTCAGAGGGACTGACACTCCCTTCTGAGCAACAGCCCGTGCCTGGCTGGCTAGGGGCACGGACTCCGTCCATGGATCATGGCCGCCTCTGCTTTTCTGCTTCTCTGCCGGTAATTACCCCCAATAGATATGCAAAAGCCTCGTCTAAAAAGAATAGGCTCAAAAGGCCGAACAAACTATCATGAATGTAAAGCCGGCGTCGACCCCCAATCCAGATTTGTCGATGCCGATGTTACAGTTGCGTATGGCATAGACCGACCATGCCCCGCCCGCAAAATCCAAATTGGACACGCGGGGCCTATGCCCCGGGGGGCATGTGCCCCGACACTTAATTTTATTACAATTTTGAACTCCTACAGATGTGTAGAGTTCAAAATTGTAAACACTAAGCTTTTGAGTGATCGGTTCAATTTTTTTTTCATTTCCACCTACAGATAATCGGACAATCACAGATTAAGCAGTACTTAAACCCATAGTTATGGCTTTAAGTTATAAATAATCATGGTTTTATACTACTTGTACACCCTTGACATCTACTTTCACTGTTAATCTTCTATTCTATTGTATTTTTTCTACGATCTGGAGGCTACAAGCAGCTCAAAAGGCTGAAAATTTCAAAAAAAAATCTGAATTTTTGGCTCGACCATTCGGACATCCTCCAAATCCAGGGTCGGTTTTTGCCGTCCGCAACTGTAGAACAAGACAAGCAAGCACCCACCGCCTCAAAGGTCATCAAGTCCAAACTCCCAAAAGTTGGGGGGGGGAATACTAGCATGAATCAGAGAGGGCTGGGGAACAGCGCTTTTTGCTCTGCACACATGTGCCTCATCCGAGCGGGTGGGTCCAGCCCAGTCGGATTTGACAGAATTTGGAAGAGCCCATTTGACCGACTCTGGATTGAGGACTGATAATAATAATATGCAATGAGATTTAAGAAAAAAGAAAAGGTGGTGGCAACACAGAACCCGAAATGGTTGTGAAGTGTAAGGATCAGGAGCGAATCAGAACAAGGACTCGTATGTTCTGGTATTTTGTTGAGGAAACGTCAGTCCTCAAGGGAAATTCAAATGACTCGACCAAAGAAAGAGAGTTTTTGAAGAATTCACAGTAAGGATGGTTGTTATAAAGCTTATAGACAAGAAAGTGATACATGAGTTTTGTCACAGAGACCCTGTAAGGGTCAAGCATATAAACAGCTTTTATGTCTCCAACTTCTTGCAAAAGTGAAGCACCAAAAAAGCAGTGGTGTTACATATTTTAAAGGGACCATTTCAAGGCTTCTCTTTTTAAATTCTGACCAACAACAAAAAAAAAAGTAGCGGATATCTCCACAATCTGCTTGATGTTTTTTTTTTTTTTTTGAATTGATCAGACCTCATTTTGATACTTGCAATCAGCTATAACATTGACCACATTGCAAAAACCGTTTTACATTCCAGCTGATTTTGCTTTCTAGATTTTTAAGGTTTTCTTTTTCCTGCATATCCAGCCAGATGTAATGTTTCACTTGTTCCTTGTGTTACCATCCTATTTTCTTTTCCTTCTTTTTTTTCTTCTTTCTTTGGGTAAACAAAGCAATGAAATATTCATGTTACAATATACAACCAGCTGGTATCACTATGTAAGAGTCATAGGCCCCAGATTCTTCTTATCTCCTCTGTGTTTTTTTTGGGCTACAATGAGTATCTCAACCGATCACTATTTGTTTGTTTATTGTTTTGTTTTTTAGGTAAACAAGTTCCGGAGAGAACGGATCACGGGAGCAGGACAATTTAAGAGCAAAAGAAGAAAAAATGTTTATTAGTGAGAGAAGAGTTTTGAGATGAAATAGTTCAGATAAAAGAAAAGAAGATAACGATAAAGATAAACGAACCGATTACGCCAGCCATAGTGACACAGGCTATCGCCACATAAGGAGACAATCGTTCGCCTACGGAGACCTCGTCGCCAATCAATGCGATTGATATTTTTTTTTCCCAAGATCGTCAACATGCAGATGATTTTCAGAGAGGTAAAGTGATCAGTTGACAATCACGATGCTCATTTTTCTTCAGCTTGAGGACATCCCAACCGACTTACCGATCCTTGCGAACTTCCAAAACAACCCAAAAACCCTTGTATTTTTTTTTTCAGAGACCCAATACACACCATTAAAAATTAACACACAACGAAAAAAAAAGAAAAAAAAAACCCCGAATCAGTTTGTTTTTCCTTTTTGAGAGAGGAGAGAGAGAGTAGATGGAATGGGAGAAAGTGGAGAGACAAAGAAGGACGGACCCGTTCTTGTTCCGGTCGATCAGACTAGGCGCCGTTGCTCGCAGATAAGTACATGTACAAATGATCAAGAGGATCACTAATAAGAGCGATTGGAAGTTAAACAAGGCCGACTAGAACGAAAAAAACCAAAAAAGAATCAGGTCCTCTATCTGTATCGGTGTATGAAATATTTGAAAGAAGCTTACCATTTTTTTGTGTGTGTCTTGTGTGTTCGATGCGAGTCTTGTCTTCCGAGAATGAGGGTCCGGTGATCTTGTGGGGGCAAGACGAGGGTTGATATGTTTGAGGTTGTGGTTGATGATGAAAAGTGTTGGTGGTTGGTGTTCCGGCGAGGAGATGGCTTGAGACCCAAAAACCCACCAGGAACAACACCACCACCAGAGACAACACAACCCAAGACCAGCAGAACGAGACAAGATGGCATCGACCACTGAACAACAGGACCAACCAACAACAACAACAACAACAACATCCCTGCAACCAATCCAACCCATCAAACCATTGTATTGTCAAAGTGCGTATACGATCGCATTCAAATGTGGAGACGTACTAACAACGCTCATCTCAATCTGATAGTTTGTAGTTTCCCGCCTGAATATTGCGAGTATGGAACCAGCATATCAAAGTGAGTCTCCAAGCCGGGAACCGGACCGGAAAAAAACTCAAAGCCAACATCACAAACTGACGCCATCCTATCCGACTGGACCGACCCAACCAATTATGTAGATGCAAGACCTGGTTGTCGACCCATGACCAAAAGAGATACGAAGAGATATATGGCGGGATCGAGCAAGAACTGGCGTCGATGAGTGTGGAGGAGGTGGAGAAGAAGAAGAAGGCCGAGACCGAGGCGCTCAAGAAGGAGGCCAAGGAGGACGCCAAAGCCAGTCGAATCAAGGAGAAATCTAAAACCAACAAGGTCACCGTCAAGACCGTCGAACGCACCAAACGCAAACGGATCACTACCATTCATGGATTGGATCTCTTCGGTCCGCATCTCTCCGTGTTCTCTACATCTATGAAGCTTTCTGAGGAACGATTTCTTACCCTTTTTTTTGTGGTTTTGGTTTTGGTTTTTTTTTGTAGGTGTCGATTTGAAGAAACTTGCGAAACTGTTTGCGTCCAAGTTCGCCACCGGCTCATCAGTGACGAAGAACAACCAAGGAGAAGACGAGATTGTGATCCAAGGAGACGTCTCAGACGAAGTACTCCCAACTCTCCCCTTCCTAAATCGATCCTCTTTCTCTCAATTGATTGATTGATTAATTTCGCTTGGTTCTTTTTTTTGTCCCTTCAGGTCTTGGATTTATTCGATTCAACCACTGGTAAATTCGCCGAAATCATCGGCAATGGGATCATTCCTGATGACAATATCGTCTTTGTTGATGACACCAAGAAAAAGAAACCCACTTGATCTTTTTCTCCTTCTTCTTTTCCTCCCATATATCATGCTTATATCAGAAAAAAAAAGATCAAGTTCATTGGTTTTGTGTTGCTGGGAATTACACATTCTACTTCTTTGCTCTTTTTATTATGCTTGATACAGTATGAAACCCATTCAAATAGAGAATGAAACTAGCATTATATAATATTAAGGATGATCGAAACGGCACATAGATCTATTGATAGTTGTATGCATCAATGCTGGCGATGATCAGATTATAACAAAGACCAAAACCAAAATCACACAAATTGGAGACTGAAGAAAATTATCTGACACAAGATGAACATAAAATCAATCATAAAAATTATCAGTGACTTGAGAAGAACGGAGACTAGTATGGACCAACAACCCATCGAAAGCGGGCCTAACCCAGGGCATTTCAAGGGCAACAGCGTTTGAAAGAGGAGGAGTGGGATTATCAGCTTCGATGAGTCGAAGGGCTTGGCCAGTGAACCGATCATAGTCTTCGACGACTCCCTTTTCCAACAAGACTTCGAACCTTTGTCTCGACTTTCCTGAGTCTTGTTCTGTTACTACTAGATCTCGAGCCTGTGGGGGATAGATGTTAGTCTGTGATGAGGAGGACGAAGAAGCATCTTCGAAGTCCGTCGAACGACGGCCTTGACTGATTGCTTGGCAACAATAAGTCCAACAATCATGGCTGATGTCATATATGGGTCCAACAAAAAAGAAGTCAAGAAATGGATGTCAGGAAGAGGAAGAGAGAAGGATTTTATAGGCAGGTGCAAAGGGCAACTGACGTGACTCGATGAGTGAAGCCGACCAGATAAGTGCGGATGGGGTTTAGTCTTTGAGCGGCGTGGATGGCTTGAGCGATCCCAAAATGGGAGGCATGAGGCAAGAGCCGTAAAGTGTCGATTATCAACACGTTCAATCGTCCACCACCACCATCTCCTCTTCCAGAGTGGCTCTCCAGAATCTTCGTCATCGTTTCTTCCGGGATCTCAGAGACATCTGACACGTAATATATCGTCTTGGCTATCATGTAGCTCGTACATATGTACGGCTTATCCTTTGAATTCGATTCGAAAAACTTCCCATGATGAACTGTTGACAGGTTTTTTATTTTTTAAAAAAAAAGAATTAATAATTGGTTTAAGTTTCTCAAAACAAAAAGGGAGGAAGGAAGATCTTTGGCAAAAGATCGGCCATCAAGGACAAGTGAGAAGAGCCAGTCAGAAGTTTGTATCTCAATGCATGATACTCTAAGACACAAAACAAGAAGGAAAGCCGTTGTGTGTGGGACCCAACAACAAAGCTGAAAACCGAGTCGCCGACCCTGCTGCCCAACCCGAAGCGCGAGGTATCCGATGCAGACCCGTCGTTGCTGCCCTGGAAACCACGCGCTTTGGGTTGGGCGGCTGACTTGACGACTCGGGTTTTTTTGGCTTTTGTCGGATGCAACTGAGCATGTTTCTTCTTATTCTGTGTCTATAGATTGTTATGTTGATCGGCCGGCTTCTGATTGAGCTTGGCGGTTGATGTCCCTCCTTTTTCCTATGATGGCTTCTGAAAAAAAAAAAAAAGAAACAAAGAAAGAACTGACCAGGTAAAGGAAGAATCTCGACGCCAAAAAGTGTAAATGATATCCCGTCTCGGATTATGTTCCATGTGAATTGGGGAACATCACCACCTAAACAAAACAAAACAAAAACCAACACCGATGTTGATAAAAAAAGGAACGGATGTGAAGCCTTTTTGAGGAAGATGTGGGATGAATAAGAAACGTACCGCCAGTCTTAGCATGACTGTTTACTAAGTAAGGGTACATTCTTGAGATTTCTGTGTGTGTGTACTCGTTGCAATAGATCGGTATCGAGTCTTGAATCGCCCCTCCTAATGTCCATGCTAATTATCATACATAAAATGCTTGTTTACTTTCAGTCTTCATTTGTAGATCTACCTCCTTCTTTCTTTCGTTTTTTCGGGGGTTCGGGATGAGTCGACCATGATCACTTACCTCGCAGATCATCCAAGCCATTCTATTCATCCATAAACACACCGGAAATTCACGTGTAGCAGTACAAAAACAGAGAGACAAAGAGATAAGTCTGTTTGTTTGTTTAGTGATCGGGTTTTCAGTGTTTCTTCATTTAAAAAAAAAAACAGGTAAAGGAGAACTGACGATTGCATCTGCACTTTGTGAGTTGAAAAAGAACAAGAATCTTATCAATAAACCAAAAAACACATAATAACGAAAAAAAATAGAGAGAAGAAGAAGAAGGGACTCAACTGAGGGTGAGTCAAGAGTACAGCGTCCAACCTGCGGATGTTATGTTTAGGAAAAAACTCTCTAGCGGCCTCACAGAAGCTTTTGCCGACATCGATCAAGAGGTGGAGGGGTGTTGAGGGCGCGTCCGGAGAGGTTTTATTGGATGGATGGTGGATCCGGAGAAGAGCTGAGGTGTTCCTGCGTAAGTCTTTCCTGTCTTCAGACTTGCAGCATCGACAGCCTTGGTCTTCGGGATCTGTTAGACATGCAATCGAAGGTACCTGGCCGGACGTCCCTTGATGTTTTGTCTCTCGTCAGCTCTCTTATTCTTCCCTCTTGTTGATGAGAGAGAGGAAAGAAATTGTTCGACATACCCGTTCCTAGAAGGATCACTTCTATCCTTGCATCCTCCTTCGCTTCCATCGAGCCTTTCTGATCAGTCCTATTCACAATAGATTCGATTTCTACCCGATTCTTAAATGTCTCCCGAAGTCGTTGTCGTCGTCCACTTCAGAGTTTATTCAATATGTTGGTCAGTTGGTCTTGGCCTGTATTGACCAAAGCTGAAAGGACAGCTCAACGCGTCCACCGTCCACCGTGCATGGATTTAAACTTTAAGCCTCTTCAAGGGGCCCAGGGGGGCTTGATCTGGCATGATGTTTCTTTCTTTGTCCTTCTTTGCATGATCTCATGAGATTTGAAAAAGTTGAAATACATATATTTTAGTACGCTCATTTCTAGATTCACCTTACTCTTTATCCTATGATTTTTTTGGCTTGATTAGAATATCTCAGGAAACAATTTTACAGCATAGAATGAGAAAGATTCACGAGTTGCAAAAAGCCTACATCCTGGATAAGAGTAGAAGATTTCCAAAACAGGGGATTCTCATAGGATTAAACAATATTGAGGCCATCTCAAACTACGGGGAAGAATGGACCAAAGAGGATAGAAAAATCTTCCAGGAGCTGGAAATGTTGCAAAATAGGGAGCAATTGTCTGAATAAAAAACACACACACAATTGAGATTCAGAGCCTGATCAACTTCCACTCAGCATGTATCCACAAGAAATTAAACAGGTTTGGAAAAATTTGAATTTTGGATTGGATGTTGAATTCAAATTAATTCAAAATTAGGCCTCTGATCAACACACTAGGAACCGGTGGTTTGATGTTGAACTGCAATCAGATCAAAACTATGCCTCAGATTTATGTGCAGGGGAAATGGAATTTGAAGAACATACACCCTTTCATCAAGGCCTGTATCACTATGTATGATCATTGGATGAAACAAATTCAAGAAGATGTAAGACAGCAAGGTCTTGATGAAAGATACCTGTGTACTGATACCACTTTCAAATCAATGGCATCCATGGAAATTGAGCTCAGCCCTCAAGAAAGGTATTCTAGTAACCAAATAGCCTGGTTCACATGAATTGATCACATTTGTAAATGTTACTGATAGCAATTTTTTAGGATGGATCTGGAATAAGTCGGGGGACTCTGGACTACACATCCAACAATGGATGTGTTTCCCAGTGTCAATGATTTGCTGATTATGGCTAAAAATGTTACTGATGACTGGCTATTTTGAACCGGGCTAACAAGTGATGGGAGAGTAGACCACTCAAACAATATTCTCATCAAGTATTTTTTTTTTAAAAAAGTGTGATCCAAAACAAAATATCACAAGTCAGAAAGATCCCAAAGCAGATTGCAGATATTGCCATTTTAATTGGGATCAGAAAATATAGGACAACTTCTACACAATTGAAGGAACAGACTCAAAGAAAATATCAAACAAGCTGAGCATACTTAATTAAAAACAATCTTATGAATTGTGTGCAGATCATGATCAATTTCATAAAGAAATCAAAACTGTTCAGCTTTTGGAACTTCTGGTACAATTGGATTGTTGGGCAAAGCATGATGCAGAAGTTGGAAAAAACTCCTTGCACCTTTGAAAAATCACTATGGTTGTAAGATTAAGGAGCAACAGTTACTATTTTGATGTGCTTCAATAATGTGATTCCCAGAAACAAAAAACCTTAACAGTCTGGCACCGCTACTGCATCATCACCATTAAATTCACAACTACAAATTACTCATAATATTTGACAACTGAGACCACTCATGCCCTGATAATTTGAAACTGGCTGGTATATTTATTTTCCAAATTTACCCTAATTTTCCATCTTCAGGGGTGCAAACCTAGCTGGAAGACCCCACTTGATCATTTCAGGCATGTTTGAAGCATTATAAATGGTCCCCTATGGAATTTACAAAAATGTATGTTATACCTTTGCTGGAGTGGCCATGAAGATATCAGAGACCAGATCTTTGATGCCTGCATTCCAAATCCCTCCTGCCAACTATTCAGCAACCAAACTCAACACGGTCCCTGGCAGGGGGTCAAAAAGCCATTCTGCCCTTAATTTGGGCTTTCACTCGAGAGAGTCAAGAGGCTCATAGGCTTGCACAGTGCAACAGTGACTTTGGAGCTAATTGCAAAGTGAACCTCTGTTTACAAAGTCTTGACCTCCAATTGAAGGTCTTGTGTTAAGCTAGGTTCAGTGAGCTTGCAAACTTATTTCTGTCGCTCCAAGGAGGGCCTGTATCAGGAGTTCATCTGCTAAAAAGCATTAGGGTCTTAGCTAATTGACTCCCAAAAAATGGAGGATCAACTCCCAAATGTCAAGGACGTCCTGAGGACCATCTGTGGACCGTCCTGGGACGTCCAAATATTTTTTTTCCCCAAAAGTTTGGTAGTCAATCCTCCAAAACCGTCGGTTTTTTTGGGAGTCAAATATACAAAAAAAAATATTATAGAAAAAATATTTTGGGGGTTTGGGAGTCAAACCTCCAAACCCCCGCGGTTGTTTGGGAGTTGGAGCGCCAATTCTGACCCCGGCCAAGCTTGACCCCTGCGCAGTTGTTTGGGAGTCGGCACTCCAACAATGACTGTGCAGGGGTTTTTCCAACCCCAGCAAAGCAGTCAGACCCCTGTGCAGTTGTTTGCGAGTTGGCACTCCAAAAACAACTGCGCAGGGGTTTCCCCCCCCCCCTATCCAAACCTTATGGAAGTCAATATCGCTTGCTACTCAGCCTCTCCTCAGCCAGCAACCTCTCTGAACAAACTACAGACCAATCATTTGACTCCTCATCGCACCCTCCAAGGATCAACACCCCAGGAACACCCTACCCCCATCAAACTGACAATAACACTACCTGCCACCCACCAACCCTCATCCAACACCTCAACCACCCCATAGCAGCCTCCATCATAACCACCAGCCCCTCTGCTAACCCCATATTCACCTCCCCAGCCAATCCAGAATCCCCCCCAAAGCCAATCCAACAAGCCCCCAGAGACCTCAGAGCTCCTAGACCCCACCCTAGCCCCTCAAGAGCAAGCCCCAGCCTCTGACCCCCATGAAGACCTAGCCCCTCAAGACCAAGTGACCACAGGTTACTGCCTACGTTTTTTGACCAAAATAGACACCAGGTACCGCACCCGCAGCCTGTTGGCGGGTACCGGCGGTACCCACGGATAGTACCGCGGGTACTTGGCACCAAAAATGCATTTTAACATTTTTTTTTTTCAATTTATACTAAATAAGAGTTTATCCTGTCTCAATTTCAAACACACCCTCTCTCAGAAGGGTACTTTGCACCAAAGATGCAGTTTAACACACCAAAAATGCTGTTGAGCATTGTTTTTCTTTTCATTTTATACTAAATAAGCAAGAAAGTTTCACATTTTTTTTATTTCAATAAATAAAAAATTACCACATTTTTTCTTCCTTATTTTCTCCTCTTCTTTTTCCTTTTCTTTCTTTTTCTTTCACTGCTTGATTCTTGTGTCTTGACGCTTATTTGCTACTCCTACTTGAAGCGGTGTTGATTTTGTATGTGGTCTGCGCAGCAGCCCTGCTTGATGTTTTTTTAGATTCATACAGTTGCGGACGGCATAGACCGACCCAGGATTTTTCGGATGTCCAAATTGTTGAGGCAAAAAGTCAGTTTTTTTTTTTTTTCAGACTTTTAGGCTTTTTTAGCCTTCAAAATGCTTAGAATTTTCTGGAGAGCATTCACCAATGCATAGGGTAGATGCTACAGCTATCATAGAGGAGTCTAAAAGGTATAACCCCATGACTATGTGTGGTTAAACCCCATAATTATGGATTTAGACATGGCTTTTGTTAGGCATGTCCGAATACATGCATGTGGCAAAAAAATATCAAGAACCGCTGGTGCAGAGGCTTAGCGGTTACAATTCTGAGCTCTACACATGTGTACGAGTTCAAAACTGCAATAAAATTGGGTGTGTGGGTATATGCCCCCCCGGGGATAGGCCCCACACTAACTTATCACAAGTCCCTTGCCTGCAGTCGGTTTTTCTGCGCGCAAA